CCGGTGTGGCTTAGTTGGTTGGGCATTGTCCTGCAAAGTGAAGGTTGCTGGTTTGGTTCCTTGTCAGGGCATGTGCCTGCGTTTTGGGTCTGGTCTTTGGTTGGGGTGCACATAAGAGGCAATGGATTGGTGTTTCCCTCTCTTCTCCTTCCCTTCCCTTCTCTCTATAAATAAATAAATAAATAAATAAATAAATAAATGAAATTTTAAAAATTGAAATATCTAGGAATAAATGTAATTAAGGAGGTAAAAATGACCTGTCCTCAGAAAATTACAGGACACTGAAGAAAGAAATTGAGGATACAAATAAGTGGAAGCACATACTGTGTTCATGGATAGGGAGAATCAACGTCAGTAAAATGTGCATACTACCCAAAGCAACCTGTAGATTCAACACAATTCTTGTCAAGATACTGACAGTGTATTTCACAGAACTAGAACAAACGTTCCAAAAATTCATATGGAACCACAGAAGCCCACAGATACTCACAGCAATCTTGAGACAGAAGAACAAAGTTGGAGGATCACACTACATGATAGTAGATACTGTAAGGCCAGAATAAAAACAAACAACCAACCCCAGCCTGGCACTGGCATAAAAACAGACACACAGATCAATGGGACAGAACAGCGAGCCCAGAAACACACCCACGCCTTCACGGTCAATGAATGCTCGACAAAGGAGGCAAGACATACAATGGGCTAAAGGTAGTTTATTCAATAAATGGTGTTGGGGAAATTGGACAGATACACGCAAAAAATGAAACGAGCTCACCTTCTTACACCACACACAAGAATAAATTCAAAGTGGACTAAAGATCAATGGTTAGACTCAAAACCACAAAAATCCTAGAAGAAAACATAGGCAGCAAAATCTCAGAATTTCTCACATCCGTATTTTTTCTGGTATGTCTCCTCGGGCGATGAAAAAAGAAAAAATAAACAGTTGCGGCTACATCAAACTAACCAGTTTTTGCACGGCAAAGGGAACCATCAACAAAATGAAAAGACAGCCCACTGTAAGAGAGAACATATTTGCCAGTGATACATTTGATAAGGGTTAATATCCAAAATTTATAAAGAACTTAGACAACTCAACACCAAAAAAATTTAAGTAAAAAATGGACAAAGGACCTGAATAAGCACTTCTCCAAAGAGGACATACAGATGGCCAATAGTAAAGATGCTCAACGTCACTAATCACGAGAGAAATGCCAATTTAAACCACAACGAGATACCTTCTCACACCTGCCGGAATGGGCGCCATCAATAACGGCAAACAGCCAGCGCTGGGAGGACGTGGAGAAAGGGGGCCCTCGTGCGCTGCGGGTGGGAGTGCGGGCTGGCCCGGCCGCTGTGGAAAGCAGTGTGCAGGGGCCTCAAAATACTAAAAATGGACCTGCCATGTAACCCAGCGCCCCCACTTCTGGGAACCGATCTGGGGGACCTGCAACACCGACTCTAAAGACCGCACGCAGCCCTGTGTCCACAGCCACGGAGCCTCGGGGCCTCGGGGCCACGGGGCCACCGGCCAGGGCCCATTTCTTGCCTGCCAACGGCTGTGGCCCGGCCCAGGCGGCCTCCCGGGCGGCCCGCGCGGCTCTCAGGTCACGCCGCCGCCACCGGGGCTCTCGCCCCGCCCCCCGCCTCGGGGCTGCCCTCGCCTGCGCCGCCCTGGCAAGACGCGCGCCCCACCCGCGGGTCCGCGCAGGTGTCCCCAATCTCGGTGCGCAAATGGCAAGTAACGCCTGCCATCTCGCGGGCAGGCCCGAGCGGGAGCTGCGGGCCGCTGTGGGCGGGCCTTCGGGTCGCCGGGCTTCGCCTCGCGCCGCCCGCCCGCCGGCGCTTCCCGCTCCGGGCCCGGTGGGGCTGCGCGCCGGAGCCAGCGGCGCACGGAGGCCGTGCGGGCCGGAGGTCCGCTGGGGACAAGCCCGCGGCGTCGGCCGACCCGCCGAGCCGCCGGCCGCGTGGGCATCGCGTCCGCGGCGAGCTGGTCCCGAGCGCAGAGGGACCTCGATTAGTCTTCAGAAGCCGGAGGTGTCTTCTGGCTCCACCTTCCCTTCATCTCACACACCCTGGGCCCAGGGTCCGGGCTGACGCCACTCCCGTTGCCTGTCTTCTTACTACTCTTCTTTGATAAGCCCGGACCCAGACCAGAGGTCAAAAAGCGGCCGAATCCAGCGTGCGAGTTTTTTTTTTTTAATTTTATTATTACTTTTTGAGATTTTATTTATTTACTTTTTGAGAGGGGGAGGGAGGAAGAGAGGAAACATCCGTGTGTAGCTGCCTCTCGCGCGCCCCCTGCTGGGGGCCTGGCCCGCACCCCAGGCCTGTGCCCTGACTTGGGATCGAACCAGTGACCCTTTGGTTCGCAGGCCAGTGCTCCATCCACGCCAGCCGGGGCCAGCATGTGAGTTTTGCTCAGCACTGCAGTTCCCAATACAAAATTTGAATTAGTTTCCAACATGTAAACATCAGGAAACACATAAAATCTAGATTTCCAGCTTCTTTTGAAAGTGTAGAGGCTTGGGCCTCACTGGGCTTTTCCCCCCTTACTTCCAACACGGCAACTCTGGCCCCATTTCGATGCAGATTTGGCCCCAAGTCGCCAGCTGGCACCAGCCTACTGAGGACACGCCCGTCCCGGGGGCGCTGGGGCGCAGAGCGGTGCGTGGGCTGCGGCAGAGCCCAGTCGGACCCAGGTCACGCCTGAGGCTCTGGCCACTAGGCCCCCGCACCTCCCTGTGTCCATTCCTGAAGAGTGACAGCTCGACAAACCCCCCGAACGGTCATGACACAGGAAGGGGCGATGCACGGTCGCTCCTGTCCATCATGTTTTCCACGGTGGCCGTGGCGTCTCGAGTGTGAGAGCCGGTGAGCGACCATGTCCGTTCACAAGCGCACGCGCCGGCATTTTCGTGTGCGCGTGACATCCCCATTCTCTACATTCTCGGTAACCTGCAGATTTGTTCATTTTATAAAATTTTTAATATTTAAATAGAATCAAGGAACAATAGGATTATTTTCTTAAGTCCTCTGAAGCAAAAAGCTTTCCTCAAGGTTAATGGTTTCCTAAGATGACAAAAGTGTACATTTATATGGAAACTTTATGCAAAATGGCTTCTGGACCCACAGTGGCGACTCAGGGACACTCCCTTGCGGGCTCGGACCGTCTAGCTTCTGAGGAAGTATGGCCACGTGAGAAGTGACGGCTGAGCAGACACGTGAAGGATGAAAGCGGCGGTCAGCGACTGGCCGGAGGCCCCCCGGCCCGCGGGCATGGCGGGCAGCCGGCAGCAGGCTCCCCGCAGGGGTGGCCCGTGCCAGGTGCCTGGGCCCAAGGGCGCCTGACCGCAAGCAGCGGCACGGCCTGGCTCTCCTTCCCAGGGGTCTGATGTCGGAGGACGGACTTCAGGCTTTCTAAAAATGCCGCGTTTAACAAAGGAGTTACATGAACACAACGCATTGAACTTGACCTCAGCTGCCCGGGCCCGGGACAGACTTACGTGCAAGTGAAGGACTCGGCCCGTTGCGGGGACTGAGGGACGGCTCGGGACTGACAGGGGCCGCGGGGCAGGAAGTGACGGATCTCAGTTTGGGTCCTTTGGCTGAAGGACCGTCTGGGCAGCGGGCGGAACCGGTGGGCGGCAGGGGCCTGGGAGGGGGTAGCAGGGAGTTCTTGGCAGTGCCCTTCTGGCCTTGTGGGAGTATGACGTTGTTTCAAAACAAATAAAAGTAACAACCTTTGTTCCAAAACTTTTATTTACTATAAAGACAAAACACCAAAATAGGTACAAATACTATAAAATTCGTTCAATGGGGTAAAAATTTTAATTAAAATATCTTGATATATTTAAAATAACAAAGGATACATTTAAGCCAAATTTTCTTAACCCAGAGATTTTTTTTGTAACATTTGTTTACACAGTAAGGTGCTAATAGAAGTTAGCCCTTAAGCCCTGGAAGTCTTAGGAATCATAGTCACACAGCAAATATAATTTCATTGTGAAAGTGAACTTTGGTAGAAGAAAAATCTATAGGACACCTGAGGTAGCAGAAACTGGAATAAACAGCAGTAGACGTTATTTACAACTCGAGTACCAAATAACATTAAGAACGCAAAAATAATTACACAATACAATTTTCAGTCCAGCTTTGATCCAAAGAAAATAAGAATATTACATCACATTTGCATTGAAAATAAAACACACACACACACACACACACACACACTCTCTCTCTCTCTCTCTCTCTCTCACACACACACACACACACACACACACACACAAACGCCACCGTTACCAGCCAGCTGAGGGAACTGCAAACAAACTCCAGTGGGGAGGGGACACCCCGCGGCCGCCGGGACACCGACACCGTTGGAGCCTGCGCCGCGGTGGGCGGGGCCCCACACGAACACTGGTGGGCGGAGCGTCGCCAACCGCCGCGGGTCTCTGTCCCCGGGGGCCGCTGGCCGAGACCTTCCAGGACACACAATGGCAAGAACGCAGCCCTTAAGCCTGCGCACGAGACTCGGAAACACTCTAACTAGAACCGTGAAAATTTTAAGCAGTCCGAAGGGAGGGCGGAAATAAAAAAGAAAGTCAAGTACAACACATACAGAGCTACCAAACTTCACATTTCAGTTCTATTTTTAACTCTTCAAAGATTGCCCATCTTCCAAAACCAAGGAATGTAAAATTTCACTAGGAAACACATTCACATTTAAAAACTGCCTTTGAAAAATTCATATGCAATGTATCCCTGTAAACGTATCTTGTAACTTATTTTACTTCCAATTTGTGGGGTACATTTAGAATGTACTCTAGATAGCTTATTTAGTTTATCCTGAGTCTTTGAGAGTAACCAATTCTATTTTGTCCTGCAACAATTCAACTGGCTTCTGAAGAGTTAAAACTTAACATCTCAAAAAGTCGTATTAAATACTTAATCAGTACTTGATTTAAAGACTCACAAAAAAAAAAAAAAAAAAAGGGCTGAAAGAGCTGCCGCTGTCCTTCAGGGCTCCCTGCCCACAGTGAGCTGCGGGCGAACCAGCCACTAGACACCTGCCCCAAGTCCAGTGAATCTGCGTGCACATGAAATGCAATCTCACTTTTCTTTATGAACGTGTTTTCCAAGCTTAAAGCAAACTTACTGTTTAAAAACACCATTGCTCACTGGTGGTTGAGTAAAGAAGTTAGATTTTCTGTTGTGACCCATCCGTGGACCCCTGGCCAGAAGGAAAACGGCAGCCCCGCCCGTTGACAAGGACAGGCTGGGACCGGGGGACAAACTGCCGTGACACTGCCTGTAAGCAAGACTGGCACAGACCGGTGAAGAGACGCCAACAGATTCCAAGGTGGCCTTGACCGTGGCCGTGAGCTGCATCACGAGAACAGCTGCTTCCGCTTCACTTACATTTAACCTGCGCGGGAGGAGCCGTGACGGACTCATGAAGGTAGTAGAAATTCCAATTTAAAAAAAAAACAAAATTCCATATTAAAAAACTCTTGCCATAGCAAGATATTCCATAAACTCTAGTTCACACCTAGTTCTATCTTTTTTTTCTGGTTTGTAAAGATCACCTTTCCCTGAATATGAAACAAAAATGAAGGTGAAATGAAAATATAGAACCATGATTTCCAAAAATGAAATAATTGGGCCAACAGTAAAATGCACAATGAACCACGATTGCCCAGGCTTTATAAAAATAAAGGCCAATTGTGGTTCATGAAGAAGTGACCAACTTTAAAAAATATATTTCCTGCTGCTCATGGCATCTCCTGACCGAGAGGCAGATGCCGATTTGCTCTGCCAGCAACAAGCGCCGCAGGCGGCCGGGAGCCCTGCGGCGGCCGCCGCGGGAGGCGGGAGAAGCGTTGAAACAGCGACACAGACCGGGGGCCCCATGCCGCTGGTATTGCTGAAAAAGTGCTCCAAGACCTAATCGCGACGGTGGCAGCGGCGAGCCAGGCGGACGGCATCGCTCGCTGGCTCGCGGGGCCAGGTTTCCCTGAAAGGCATGGGCCGCGGTCCGCGCGGCGCGGCCCCTGATTTGTCGCTCACACACTTGGGTCCGGGTTCCCCGCTGGGCTCGCTCCTGGCTGTCCGGCGGCAGAGGCCAGCGGGTGCCCCATGTGGTCGCCCACGAAGCTCCCCTCTCGCCGAGCACCCTGTCTCCGTCTTAGCTGGGGCGTCTACCAGGCTACCAGGTCGTGCGGAAGACGGGGTGCTTCAGCAGCTCCCGCGACGGAGGTCTGTCCTGAGGCTGAAGTTCTAAACAGCGAAGGGCCACGTCCCGCAGCCCCGGAGACAGGTGGGGAGGGATGGCGGGCGCCGTGGTCGCGCTGGCGATCTGTGGGGGAGACAGCGGAGCTCAGGCCTTTGCACAGGCTGGCTGGGGGCTCGCCGCCTGGCGGGGGACCCAGGCTGACGGTGCGAGGCCGGTCTCTCCTGTCCTGGGAGGCATTGCCCGGGAGTGGAAGGGCGGCGGGGGCCCGGCCGGGGCGAGTGAGGGCCTCTCCGGTGTGTCCCTGGCACTCGCCCATGAAGGGGCGCCACAGGGCACCCCCTTGATAAACAGACGGGCCAACAGGGGCAGACAGAGGGCGTGATTTCCTAGTCACGTGGCTATTGGCGGGCGGGGGGGGGGGCTGGGGCTGGAAACCCGCCATCCAGGCTGCCGCCGGCACACCTCTGACCCCACAGCCGACCCGAGCCGCCGGCCGCGCCCGCCTCTGGTGGAACCGGAGGAGGGACTTGCGCGTCTGGACACCAGAGCAGACGGCGCCTGGCAGCTCGCTCGGGCGCGTTGGAATACAGGACATAGTAAGTTGGAGTTTTAAAAATGCGTACATTGTGCACGGGACAGGAAGAGCTTCAGCGCTTAAATGTGGGAGCCGGCCGGGTAGACGTGTGCGCGCATCCCGGCGGGGGCAGCGGTTCGGTGGTTCAGTGCCACCAGCTCGGTGCTCAGAGCAGCCAGGCAGGGCACAGAGACAGGGCACGCCGTGGGGACGGGAGGAGGCGGCCCGGCCACATGCCCGTGTGGCGATTCGTTTATTTCAAGAGCCTGGGCCTTCGAGGGGGACCCACCCGCCTCCTGCCAGCCCCAGAAGGAAGCGCCTCTCGCCCTGCCCTCACCTTGAATATCAGCGCGAGGTGGTTGGAGTGCTTCTCTGCGTTCCACGGGGGTTTGGCACAAGCCATCTCGATGATGGCACAGCCCACGCTCCACACGTCGCAGCTCCTGCCGTACTGCTGGCCCCGCAGCACCTGGGAGAGAGCAGGTCAGCCGGGCCGGCCGTGGGAAGGCCAAAGCCACTCTGCAGCGCAGACGTAGGCAGCCTCCTGCCGACGGCCTGGCGTCCTGCCCGCTGCACAAAGGAGCGGAACCCCCTCTGTGGCACAAAAGCATTTTGGAAAACTGTGCGGCCCTGAAAAGCCACCAGAGATCTCAGCGTCTCCACGCTGCCCCCGTGCATGCAGCGGTGGGGCGGGACGTCAACTGAGAATCGCTGTGCGCGACCGCGAGGAGCTCAGACCAGCAGCGCCTGAACGTCTTCCCCGACGGCTGAGGCCGCTTCTGTTGTGCATGTTTTGGGTTTACTGCAAACAGCTTTGTAAATTAGCCAACAGCCCTTTGTTACAATAGCCTTTGGGCAATGCTACTGAAACCCATCTTTCAGAATTCTGTTAAGACAAAGAGGGAAAGGCAGGGGCTGGGGGTCTCGTACAGGGGACAGCGTGCCGATGAGCGGGGAGGGACTCCGCCACTGAGCACCGCCGCAGGCAAAGCCGCCCTCACCTCGGGCGCCATGAAGGCGATCGTCCCCAGCAGCTGGCCCTGGAACTCCCCCGCGCCCGTCCCCTTCGACGCCAGCCGGGCCGCGGCCCCGAAGTCGGCGATCCTCAGCCTCTGGCCGGTGCTGTCGATCAGCAAGTTGGCACCTGCCCACGAGCACAAGGGACAGATCACAGACTTGGTAGAACGCTAGGGATGACACGGGACAATGGCAAAGAAAGCGGTGGGCCAGCGCCAGGCGTTGGGGGTGTCCCTCTCCCTCAGGCCCCTCGGCTGTGCCGAGGCCCCAGGGCCCACGCGCTCAGCCGCCTCCGCACCCACGGCCTCGGGGGGCTCTGGCCCGAGCCCAGGCAGGGCTCCGTGGTGCCCTGAATACATGTTAAACACCATCAACAGGGTGCTTCCCAAAATGATCTTTCTGCAAAATTCAAACTTCAGTGTAGTTTAGATTTTAAGATAAAGTTCTGTTGAAACAGACTGATGTAGACCAAGTCAAATTACTATAATTTCACAATTACAGCTTAATAAAAAATGTCAGTTTTTAAAATATTTTATTTATTTTTTAGAAAGAAGAGAAGGGAGGGAGAGAGAGAGGGAGAGAAGCATCACCGCGAGCGAGAAACACCGATCGGCGCTCTCGTCCGCGCGCCGGCCTGGGCCCGACCGGGAGTCGGCCACCCGGCAGCCCTCCGCGCGGTGGCGCCACGCACACCCACTGAGCCACCCTGCCCTGGGCGAAAAATTAACTTCATTAAATTACTTGACTATATTAGGTCAAATACGAGATAGACACTCGTGTCAGAAAATCAGAGCTGCTATTAATTCATCAACTGCAGGAGATTTGAAAGGATTTTCCCTAAAAGTTTATAATATCGCAAGTGCTCTCACGGACCCCGGGGACAGGCTTTAGGGAGGAGTGCCCTCCAGGACCAAGGCTGGACCGAGGCCGGGACGTGGAGGCCTGGAGCCCACACCTGGCCGGCCGGCGCGAGGCAGTGAGGCTGCAGGAGGGTCCCGCCTCCTGAGGGGGCCGCGTCCTGTGACCCCAGATGCGCCTTCACCCCTAACAATCCCAGTCAGGCGAGTCGCCGAGGACAGACGACCCTCTAGCTGATTTCAGGTGAGAAACTGCCCACAAAGGTGCAAGTTTTAGAATTACATTAGTTTTCTACTTACTGCTGGAAAAAAAAAATAATAAGAAAATCCCTACCTTTCACATCTCTGTGAATGATCTGGTTTTCGTGGAGATACGAGAGGCCACGGAGTAACTGCTCAGTGTAGTGAATGACGACCGATTCCTTGAAGGCTCCGTATTTACTGAGCAAATGGGCCACAGACCCCCCTGCAAGACAGACACAAAACAGCAATAAGAATTATCATAAACTTATGCCAGAATTAAAGGTGTTTATTACGCTTCAATAACATAAGGCTGCACTTTATGAGCGCACATGCGCATCTGAAATGCTCATGTATACTCTGCATCAGAAGTGAAACTGATTTAAAAACTAACACATTTAAGTGATCTCCAAAGCTCTCAAGCAGGAGGCTTTCATGGAACCCTCATAACTAGTTTTTCAGAAGGTCAAGAGTTCAGAAAGCTTCAAAAGTTAACAGTTTCGGATGGAGCTATTTCTTAAATGTACAATTGGCCCGTCTTTTTGACCAAGGCCTACGAAGCGCCTGTCTTCGTGACGAGCGCGGACGGCGCTGACCTGTCACGCGGCAGAAGGCGAGAGCGCAGGTGGCGCCGGCGGAGGCAGGGGAGGCGCGCTCGCCAGCCGCTCCCAGCGGTGCCCGGCGGTGCCCGGCCGTGCCAGGCGGCAGGCCACGGACTCAGCGAGCCTCGGCTGAAAGGACTTGAACTCGCCACCTCAGCAGAAGCATCAACCCAGACACAACCCACGCCGAGCGCGCGCTGAAGAACGGATGGCGGAGGCGGAGGCGGAGGCGGGGGCGGGGTCCCGGCCGCCCCCCCCCCCCCGGCACCGAGCCGCTGCGCCCCGTGTGGGGCGGCCATGGCTGAGAAGGCCCTGAAGAGGCGCTGAACAGCACTCCCCCCCCCAAGGGTATAGAGAGAAGTCGCGTCGACGAAACACGTGGGAGGGGCAGGTGTGTGGTCTGATCAGGATCCACGCCCCAAGCGTGGCAACTCCCGTGTGGGAGAGGCGCCAGCGCCCGGTGGTCCCCCGAGGGACGCTGCTCCGACAGGACGCCCCCCCCCACCCCCCAAAAAGGGAAACAGCTGGCGGGCCCCCAGCAGCCCTGCCCAGCTGCCCCAGGAGGGGGCGCTCCGCCCACACGGGCGACCCCTGGGGAGCAGGGGATGGTGCCAGCGGCCCCCAGGGCGCACCCCCACCCAGGACCACTTCTACAGGACGGGGCGGGGGGTGGGGGGGTGTAGCTGGTCTGCCGAACACACAGAGGGAGCCAGAGGGAGGCAACGTCTGGAGACGGAGGAGTATCCTCTGAATGAAGGACAGCGGAGCCGGAGAAAGAGCTCAGCGAAATGGGGACGAGCATCTGCCAGACGGCACAGGCAGAGCGACGGTCAGAACGGCGCTGAGTGGGTTCGGGAGGGAGTGGCTGCGCCAGCCGGACCTGAGCTGAGGTGGAAGCCGCACTACAGGGGCCCACCGGCAGGTCAGGAGAGCCGATCCCTGACCTGGGGACAGAGGAGTGGACGTCGTTGCTCCTGAGCAGCAAGAGGGAGAGGGTTTTTAATGAGGGCAGTTCGAGGGACCTCAGGGATGACATCGAGCATTCCAGCGTTCCCGCCGCAGGGGTACCCGAAGGAAAAGGGAGGAAGGGACTGGAAATCTGTTTGAAAAAATAATGGCTAAAAACTACCCTCACCTGACAAAAGGCAACAGACGTCTAAGTCCAGGGAGCGCAGAGAGTCGCAACCAAGATGGACCCAAAGAGGCCACCCCAAGACACAGCATATGAAAATGCCAGAGGTTAAAGGAAAAGCGGGAATCTCAAAAGCAGCTGGCTTTGCACACAGGAGCACCTGTAAGGCTCTCAGCTGAGTTTTCAGGACTCGGGGGTGGGGGTGGGGTCCCCAAATATATTCCAAGTGAAGAAAAGGAAAAACTTGCACCCAAGAATGCGCGACCTGGTGTGGTTCTTGCTCAGACCTGAAGGAAAGAGAAACTTTCTCAAACTAGCAGAAGCCAACGCAGGCCGTCGCCGCTGAACCGGACCGAAGGAGGCACGGGAAGGGCTCCTGTCGGCAGAAGGGGAGAGGCCGAAACCGGAAGTGAGGAAGCGCAGGGAGGACAAAGCTCACGGTCAAGGCACTGAGGACAGCCCGTGGGCGAACTGACCATAAGGCTGGTATGACGGTTATAAGACAAAAGCAGCAAAATCACGGGTACCTTCACTAATTAGGATAATGCAAAGCAAGATTTCAACCACACAAAACACGGGGGAGGCAACACGGGATGTGTTTAGAACGCGTTCCAACTTCAGTGCCGGTCAAATCAAAATGGCTGCTATAAACGCTCGCGGCAACCAGAAACCAAACCTCACACGCGCAGAACCCCACAAACCAAAACCTCACACGCGCAGAAAGGGAGACAGGAGCCCAACGCTGACCCTGACGGGGGTCATCGACGCGAGAGAGGGCGAGAGCAAGGGTCAGAAAACCAGACGCGCAACCAGAAAACAACAAATAAGACGGCAGCAGAGACATCCTATCAATAACCACTTTAAACTCAAATGGATTAAATGGTCCAGTGCAAAGACGTAGGCTGGCTGGCGGGATTAAAAATACATAAATAAAAAGGCAAGGCCCCTCCAGATGCTGCCCACAAGAGACTTGCTTCGGATGGAAAGACACAAACAGGCGGAAGGGGAAGGGTGGACAAGCTCCTGCAAGTGGAGATGAAACGAAAGCTGGAATAGCAACATTTCTACGGACAGAACAGGTGTGAAAACAAAGACTGTAATGCGGCCAAGAAGGACACTGCCTAACGGGAAAGGCCTAATCGAAGAAGGGGGCTGAGCGGAGGTGAACATCCACATGCCCCACCCCGGGCGCCTGCGCACAGAACGCGACTGTTAATGGACACAAAGGCCGAGGCCAATGGCAACGCGGTGACCGGGCCTGGCCGAGCGCTCGGCGGGCAGGGGCGTCGCCTCGCACACCCAAAGGCCACGGGTTCGAGTCCCCGGTCCAGGTGCGCATGCGCGGCAACCAATGGGTGTTTCTCTTTCACACCACTATTTCTTTCCACCCCCTTCTCTCTAAAATCAGTAACATTCCCTCAGGTGAGGATTAATAATAAATTTTAAAAAATAATAAAAAAGTAGGAGGGGACTTTAATAACCCACTTACATCAATGGATAAATCACCTCGACAGAAGATCGACAGAGAAGCAGTGGCCTTAAATGACATATTAGCCCACATGTTTTCAAAGCGTTTCATCCAAAAGAAGGAGAAGGTCCATTCTTTTCAAGTGCACATGGAAGATTTGCCAGGACAGACCACATGTAAGGCCACGAAACAAGTCTCAGTAAATTTAAGAAGACTGGGATCACAGCAAGCACCTTCTCTGACCACAATGCTGTGAAACTGGAAATCAATGATAAGAACAACACTAGAAAAAACAGACTAAACATCACTCTACTAAACAATAGGATAATGAAAAAAAATCAAAGAGAAAATAAAAAAAAGTCTTGAGACATGATGAAAACAATCCCATTTACGACTGCATCACAAAGAATAAGAAATAAATTTAACCAAGGAGGTGAAAGACCCACCCTCTGAAAAGTCTAAGACATGGAAGAAGCTGAAGAGGATTCATAAATGGAAGGATATACCACGTTCATGGGCTGGAAGAATTAATATCATTAAAATATCCAGACTACCCATAGTGATATACAGATTCGATGCCATCCCTATCGAAAGACCAATGGTGTTCTCCTCAGAACTAGAACAAACAATCGTAAAGTTCACACAGAACCACAGAAGATCCTGAATAGCCAAAGCAATCTTGAGAAAGATGAACAAGGCATACTGGAGAAGGATGGTTGCTGATTTAAAGACTATACTATAAAGCTGTAATAATGAAAACAGAATGGTATCGGCACAAAAAACAGACACACAAATCAATGGAACAGAGTGGGACGGCCAGAAATAAACCCATACTAATCTGGTAATTAATCTACAGCAAAGGAGGCAGGAACATACAGCAGGGAAGAGACAGCCTCTATGACAGCTGGTGTTAGGAAACCGGGACTACTTTTTACACCATATACAAAAATAAGCTAAAAATGTATGAAAGAGTGAAACGTAGGACCTGAAACCATAAAACTCCTGGAAGGAAACACAGGCATGAACTCTTCGACATTAGTCTTAGCAATATCTTTTTTGGATGTGTCTCCTCAGGGAAGGGCGACAAAAGAAGAAAATAAATGAACAGGACGACATCTAACAGCAGCTTTTGCTGAGCAAAGGAAACGATCAACAAAAGAAGAAGTCAACCTACTGAACGGGAGAAGACATTCACAAATGACAGGTCTGATCAGGGGTTAAGACCCAAAACATACCAGGAACTCATACGACACAACAGCAAAAAAACAAACAATCCGAAAAAAAAGAAAACCCCTAACAACCCTATTTAAAATGGGCAGAGAACCTGAACAGACACTTCTCCAAAGAGGACACACAGAAGGCCAACGGGCATGAGAAAAAGCGCCCAACACCACTAACCCTCTGGTGCAAACCAAAACCGCAGCCAGAGGCCAGCTGACACGGGTCAGAATGGCCGCCGTCAGTAAGCCAACAAACACGTGCTGGCGCGGACGTGGAGAAGGGGGAGCCTCATGCGCCGGGGGTGCGAGAGCAGGTGGGGCAGCCGCTGTGTAAAAAAGTATGGAGATTTCTAAAAAAAAAACCCCCAAAAACAAATAAAACCACCTATGATCCAGCAATTCCACTCCCGGTACTTATCTGAAGAAAAAGAGAACAACAGTTTGAAAAGACATGCGTGCGCCCCGGGCTCATGGCGCGGCGTTCGCAGCGCACAGCAGGGGAGGCAGCCCGGGCGGCCAGCGGCAGAGGACCGGGCGAGGGCGACGGAGGGCCACTCGGTCACCGGAAAACCGAAATCTCGCCGTCAGTGACGCTCCGATGGACCTGCAGGGCCATCAACGCCCAGCAACGCACATCGGAGACAGACAAGCACCGGACAACTTCCCTCCCATGTGGCATCTAAGGAACAGACCAAATGAGCCAACAGCAAAACAACAGAAACAGACGCATACAGACGGTTGCCAGGGGAGAGGGAGGCTGTGGGACGTTTGGAAAGCGGGAGGGACGCGAGGGACGGACCCCCTCTGTGAAAGGGGTCCGTCACGGGGGCATGATGTCCAGTACAGGGACCACCGTCACCGGCATCTTCATGACTGTGTGGTGGCCCCATCGTAAGGCACGTAAATATGGAATCACTATGCCGTGCGCCTGCACACGCTGTGTGTCAACGGCACTTCCCCCAAAAAGACTGATTTGTAAACAGATGTACGGTTCTTCAAACACAAAATAAAGCGCGGTCCTCACGGGCTGACCTCGAGGATGGGGTTCGACTTCATGCTTCGGCGCTAGTTCACCTGAAGTAAATTTTCAGGTTCTACGTTAATCAATTTTAAATCATCTCTTACACCTGTCCAATTAATGAGGGTCACCTGGAAAAATACGGGTCTTACACCTAGCAGGTAAAAAAAGGATTCCTATCCAACAGTGCTACACAATCATTTTAAAAGAAACACTGAAAAAGTTTAAGAGGTAGAAGTAATGAATGCCTTGTGTTTCAGTGAATGTATTTACCAAATATTTACAGTCCATCCTACCATGTCTGGGACGATTTGTCTTTAGAAATTAAAACCATTTAATAAAAAAAGGTGCTCATTAAAATGTTTTTCCTAAACATCAACTGGAACATTCAATCAACATCCTGCGTTATTTCTGTCACGTAAAAGGTGGGCCCACCTGCCATCCACTCGATGAAGAGGTTGTAGTTGCTCTTCTCGCACGTCGCCCCCAGCATCCTGATGACGTTGGGGTGGCTCAGGTGGCTCATCATCCTTATCTCTTCCCTCAGCGCTTCCACCACCTCCTCCTGCTCCGACGACGTGTTTCTGACGTACGTCACCTGTGCCCACAGACATGCTTACAGAGCCCGGCGCTGTGACGCGTGTCGGGCCACAGCCCCCACTAACAATCCGATCTACACGGGACACACCCGCACGAGCCCCTGCGTCAGCTGCCGACGGCCTTACACGCGCGGGTGCGATGCAGACGCCTCACAGAAAACCTGGCCCAACTCTTTCAGAGAATGAGAACCTAGCTTTAGAAGCAGTGAGGTATCAGGAAAATGACCAACCCCCTCCCCACCAAACCCCAGAAAAACGAAACACCACGACCCGGCCCATCCTCCAAAACGGTGTGAAGCAAAGTGAATAGGGGGAGGGGCTGAGTCCGGGGAGAAGAGCCCACGCGACCCAAAGGCCGATGAGCCCACCCCGACCAACGCCCTCGTTGTGAGAGGCCGTCCACGGAGATCCCGGGGGACGTGCGCCGCGCCCCTGCTGGAGGCGGGGAGACCCCCCTCTTCTGAGCGTAAGAAACACAAACGAAGCCCCAGGCAGCCCGTGTCCGACGCTGCGTGTGACAGTCACACTGTTGCTTATGCACAGAACTCATGATGCGTAAGTGAGGACACAGAGGGGAAAGATGGACCGAGGTAGAGGCAACACCTACGTCGAAACCGAGGTTTCTGAAAACTTAAAAGAACTAAAGTATAAACGTGCAGGGACACTCGCGTCTCCTGCGTATGATTTTGGTCCCTTGTGTCCGCACTCGACCCTTACCTGTTTGACAGCCATCAAGGTGCCTGTCCCCACGTCCTGGGCCTGGTAGCAGGAGGAAAAGGCCCCCAGGCCAATCTGCTGGCCCTTCAGCCACTCCACGTCCTCGCGGTAGGGGAGTTTCGCTTTGGTGTGCCCGGGCAAAGTCTCCGGTGTCTGCGTGGTAGAGGGAAGCATCTTTGTGTTGCGCCGTTGAGAGTACGAGTTTGTGAAATTAGCCTGGCCAAATGCTACTCTTGGTCAGTCTGGCTTCCCAAGCCACCCAGGGACAGTGCCGGCGACCGGCGTCCAGTGCGGAAGGGACCCGCACGGAAGTGTCCCAACCGGAACCGCCTCTGAAACAGGCAGGGGCGTTTCTGCCTGAACAGCGACCCGCACGCTGTGTGGTTCCACGTGGAAGCCCACCCCGCACGGCGAGCCCGCGTGCAGGCCGCGGCCCTGCGTGGCGTGCGCTGGGGCAGGGCCCCGGGGCCCCGTACTCACGTCCTGCTGGATGATGATGACGTCCTCCCCGCCGGCCACCTGCAGCTGCGGCACGGTGGGCAGCGCGTCCTGGGACGCGGACATGGCCATGGCCATCGCCAGCGCCTCCTCCTCCTCTGCCTCCAGCTTTTCTTTGCACTTCTGATTGTGGGTCACGTCATCTTGGTAGGTGTCGTCGCTTTCATCCTTTTCAGGGGAGAGGACGGCCACTTCCGACTGGAAAGTCACGGTGCTGTCGCTCGAGGGCATGGACGCCTCAAGGAGGTCCTCGACGCTGGAGCTGAGCTCTGGGTTGGCGTCCAGCCTGCTCCTGTCCTCGATGGGGGTGAACACTGTCTTGTCGCTGGGGATGAGGGCGTGGCTGCTGCCGCTGCTGCCGCCGCTGTCCTCACACCGGCACGGGCTGCACAGGTCGAGGGTCAGGCTGTGCTGCGAGGCGGCCCCCTGCCTGCCGGGACCGCCCGGGGGCGGCCGAGAGGGCCGCGGCCTGTGGACGGTGCCGGAGGGCGGGGGTCTGCACTGAGTGAAGATCGGGGAGAGCTTGTCTGCCTCTCTGCTTTCGGAGCAGTGTCGCTGGAACGGCAGGGAAAACTTGCGCTGCGTTTGCGGGGATGCAGGAGCTTTGCAGGGAGCGAATCCCTGAGGCCGGTGCCTGGAGCCGTCCGTGCCGGTGGGCGCGGCGGGCGCTGAGGAAGACGGGGGCGCCTGGGCTGCGGGCGCGAACTGGGAATGGAGCGGGAGGGGGGACGAGTTCAGGCACTGGCTGTGGGGCCTGCCCTTGGTCTGCACCACGGGCTTCGGCTGCTCCGTCGTCACCGAGCCCGGGAGCCCCACGGCGAGGCCGGCCAGCCTGTCGGAAACGTCCTCCGAGCTGGCGCTCAGCCTCGCAGCCTGCAGCCCCCTCCCAGCTCGCTCCGCAAGGTCTGCGTGCTCCGCGGGGCTGCCCTCCGCGGTCTCCGGGGAGCTGTTCGGGCCGGACGCCGGCGGAAAGCCGTCCTGCCGGCCGTCCAGAGGGTCCTCGCCGCCCAGGGCCAAGGCCTCGGCGATGTCCGCCTCCTCCGCGATGGCTGCCAGCCGGCGGCGCATCCTGGCGAAGTGCGTGGAGCTGGACACACTCAGCATCTCCAGCAGCTTGGAGAACACCCGGGGCACAGTGGTGACCATCCTCGCGGAGCTCAGGTAGACCCTCCGGGAGAGCTTGCCCACCATGGAGTGCGGGTTGTCGATGCACAGCAACGCGAAGCCCAGGAGCGACAGCAGCTTCTTGTACCTGCGAGGAAGGCACATTCCGTTATCACACGTTACAGGTTCTGCACAACACGTACAAATAAAAGGAAGGTGGTGATAATTTACAGCTTGTACATTCCAAAAAAGAAAAATCAGAGTAACGAGCCTAGACCTCAGGTCTGTGTGTCTGTCAAACACCAGGAGCGGCATGTACACTCGGCAGCTCCCGCGTCTTCCGTGACCCTAACACGCTCCGTTCGTGGGGGCAGGGTGTGTGGCGGGGTGGGCGGGCGGGCGGAAAGTCGCTGTGGGAGAGACGTACTTGCTTTCCACGGGCTCAGCCGGGGAGACATCGGCACTGACAATGTGGGGGTAAAATTCAGCAGGAAATTCCAACAGCAGCCTGTCGATCAGGCAGAGGCGGCCCAGGAGCTCTTGCCAGTTGTTTGGTTCGGTTTGGTTTCCAAGGATGCAACTTAAGACATAGTCGACACCACCGATGCCGATGGACCCTACGGAAAGGAAGGCAGAAAGAAGGAACTGAAACACAGCGGTGCTGAAGCCCAAACCAAAACACGACCAAATGGCAGAAGGCCGCCTAAGTCCTCGGGCCTGCATTCGTTTAAGAGTTCCTCCCTGAGATGCATGTTCTATTTCTAGTATGAGCCGACAGAGTCAATTTAGAAAATTACTTTGAAATCCCGTAACTGCGGCATCAGAGATTACGAGACTGGATAGTCTGCTATGGAAATGATAAAACGTGCTATGTCAACTTTAAGGAAAAGTTATTACCAGCTTTAAGGATTTCTCTGCCAACCGCCAGCTCCCCGGCCTGGCCCTTGCACAGCTCCAGCAGCGTCGAGATGGACAGCTGGCTCGTGCGGCTGGGAACGAAAGGACGCGCGTCAGACTCGGCGCGGGACGAAGCCCGCACGAGAGGGGAGCAGGGAGCGACGCCCGGTGAGGGGGTGGGAGGAGGACGTTCCCCAGACCGGCTGCTTTTCTACGCCTGCGGCTGCATTAACCGCGTCGCTAGAGAGAGTCGCGCTCGTTAGCGGGTCCAATTTCGTACCTTTCACCTTGTCCCCTACAGTAAGGACAGAACCTTCATTCGCTGCTGGCTCTCAGGCAGCGAGTGCTGATTTCAACATCAAGTCAGGTAAGAAAAAGGGCTTACTTTCATTAGCATATCTTGTTAAAATAAAAAAGACTCAAGGCATTTTGGTTTCTGAATTTGCACTAGAAATCTCTTGAAGTGAAAACACACCCTTCCTACCCCAACCCTTTATGCTCTCTTACATAGCAGAATGAGGTCCAAATGTCAAAATCTCTTCCCAGCATTTCTTATGGTATTGCTGGCAAGGACCAGGTAAAGGACCGAAGTTTAAAACGTTAGAAAGCAGGCAACACAGTAAATGCTACAGAAGCACTGAAGGTCTCAGGAAAACACTTCCGCTAGAACTGAAAAGACCGTGAGCTCTGTGTGCACTTCACAAGCGATTCGCCTGCCTCCTGTTTCTCGTCTCCCCAACCAACGAGGCCGCGCTAAGCCTGTCAGCCCACAGGCTGCGCGCAAGGACCCTGCAGCCGAGGGCCGACCCCGCAGGCCGCGCGGCAGGCGAAGCTGAGCCCCCGTGTGCCAAGACCCTGCCCAGACCGCGCCCGTGACCGAGGGGGACCGCGCGGCGAGCAGAGGCGACCTGGGACAGGGAACCTTCCCCCGCGGAGGCCTGCCTGCCCGGCCACAAGCAGACGAGACCCGGCCAGTGCCCGTTCCCAGGGCTGTTCAGTGAGAAGGGACCTCCCTCCCCCGGGACCGGGAGGGAAGACCCAGAGCCAGGAGCCCGACAAAAGCAGGCTGTGCTCGCCGCCACTGTCCCAGACTGCGTTCTGCCCCCATCTTTACCCTCCAATTAGGGTCGTTGCTGTTCCTTGTCAGTGTTTAGGGACAATGCTGGGGTATATGGAACTGGGAGAGGACGGCTGTTATTTGACACGAACTACCCTAATTAGAGTACAATTCCAGGACACAGGAAATAAGAAAATCAGGTTTTTTGCGGGGGGCGGAGGGGTGTTCCCGGTAAGGCGGCAATTGGGTGTAAAGGTCCCACTGGTCCCCGTGCTGTGCAGCCCAGTCCCTGGAGCGCAACGGCGCCTGACCGGCCCGCACGCCAGCGGCGCTGCCGGCCGCGCTCCAGACGGGCCTGCCACTCGGCGGCCATGGCGCCCGCACGGCGAGCTCAGGGAGGCTCCTCCCGCCCGTCCCGGGGCCTCGCGGAATCGACGCGCCCCCGGCCGGCACCGGGCCTCACCTGTTGGAGTCGGCGCACTTGACCAGGATGGTGTCCACCACGGGCCGCAGCAGCCGCTGCAGCTTCAGCCGCTCCGCCAGGCTGTGGCACGGCGTGTACGCCAGCATGGCCCTCAGCGTTTTCTGGGGGTGAGACCGAGGGCCAGGTCAGCTGCGCTGAGGGCGTCGGTGGCGCGGAGCCACCCCCCCCCAAGACAGTCTGAGAGGCAGAGCGAGTGGCGGGGAGACCCCGCGGCCCATACCCAGCACGAGACTCCACGCTGCAAAGGCGCGGTCAGGTACAGAAACAAGCAGGCGGGTGGGGCAGGGCTCCGTGGGCCGTGCCTGCGGCCCTTTTTTTTTTTTGAAAGATTTTATTTATTTATTTTTAGAGGAGAAGGGAGAGAGAAAGAGAGGAAGACAAACATCACTGTGTGGCTGTGCCTTGCGCACCCCCAGCTGGGGACCTGGCCTGCAGCCCTTAACTAGACTGGGAATCAAACCGGCCACCCTCTGGTTCGCATGCTGGTGCGCCATCCACTGAGCCACACCAGCCAGGGCTCCTGCGGTGCTTTGTAATCTGAATTAATTTTAAAATGAAAAGCTAAAAATTTATTTTAAAAAGAAAATGAGAACAGGCCAGCCTGAGAGAGCCCCCAACGGCCGAAGCAGGCACGACTGGGCGACCAAGCAGGCGGCGAGGGCCCGAGCCGGGGCGCCGGCCGGACGCCCGGCCACGGGAGCCTGGGCCCGATGCCGCGCCCGGCGCCGCTCCTGGGGCGGGACCGCCCCCTGCCCCGCCTCGTCCCCCTCTGCCGACTGCATGGCGGCTGCGTGGGAGCCTGTGTTTTTATGTGACGCATCCTAAGCTGCTTGAGGGGAGGCGACAGGAGGCCTGCGAGGGCTCTCAGGTGGTTCGGCAGGAACTGCACGGGAGGGAGAGGATCGGGGAAGAGGGGAGGGCGCAGAGGCCAGCCCGCCTCTGCCTCGGCTGCGCCGGCACGCGTGACGGTGTGGAGGCAGGAGGCGGCAGAGCTCGGACCCCCACACTCCAGGAGCTCACGCGCGACTAAGGAACCCCTGCACCTCGGCGGACAGAGCCCGACAGCGAGGCAGTGAGCGCGTGCTGGGCCCCACGGCGCCACGCGGAGAGGAGCCCGCGGTGCGTTCGGGAAGCAGCGCGTCTACCCCATGGGTCCCGACGCGTATTAGCTTGCGGGAGCTCTGCCAGTGAACGGACCCAATTCGCCCCATGGGCTCAGTGTTCGCTGGTTCTGAGCGAACACAGAGCCCTTCCCGCACCGCCGTGCCCTGCAGGAGGTGCTGCTGCAGCCGCAGAGCTGCTCACGGGCTCACGGCCAGGCAAGGTCCCCACGGAGGTGGCGGGACGGTGGCGGCTGGGGCACGTTCACTGCACAGGACGTTAGGGCTGGGGACTCCCGTTCCAACCCAGGAAGCCAACGCTGTCCTCACTCTGTGGAGGGAAGGCTGAGGTCCGAGCGTCTGGAAGCCTCGCAGGCAGCCAGCGCGGGGCCCAGACTTGAGTCAAGGTCTCCATACCCTGGACCGCGTGTCCAGGTCGCCCAGGCTAGTGCCAATAAATGAGCAGATTATTCAACATCCCAGCTTGGATGGTAACCTATACGGTCACTCAGTGCTGACTCCAAACTCTGGTTTGTAACCAGCACGGTGGGATCCAAAAAAATGACTCATTAGGCATAGTAGTTGCAGGATGGATTAGAAAAAGGCTGTGAGTGGAAGCAGGGAAAATAATGAGTTTTATAACCAACTAGCCCTGGCCCTGGCTGGGGCGGCTCAGTGGGTCGAGCTCCGGCCTGTGAACCACAGGGTCGCTGGTTCGATTCCCAGTCAGGGCACAGGCCTGGGCTGCAGGCCAGGTTCCCAGCAGGGGGCGCTTGAGAGGCAACCACACAATGACATTTCTCTCCCTCTCTTCCTTCCTTCCCCTCTTTCTAAAAATAGTCTTTTTTAAAAATTTTAACAAAGAGGTGATTCTAAAAATAAACGTTAAAAAATAAACGCAAACTAGATAAGAATTACTCTAAAGCAGTGGCTCCGAGCTGGGGCCGCTGTGACTCTCGGGGCCGCCGTGACTAGGGGAGGAGGGGGGCGTCATGGGGCCCTGCGGCCCACGGGACGGCCTCCGGCTCCTCCAGGCTGAGGCGGAGAAGCCCCGGCCTCAGCTCTGCTCTGCACTCAGAACGGAAGGAGTCAAACTCGCCTCCAAAATCACCAACAGCCTCCTCGTCGCTCCGTCCCACTCGTGCAAGACAACTTCTCACAGGGCAGCGGGGAAAGCTACCACCTGTCACGGGGCCCTGCTCTCTGAGCACACTCCTGACTCCCCATACGAGAACGTTTATTAAATAGGGTCAGTGCTCGTTCATGTTTACTAATATCAAATTAAGAAATCGGAGTAACTGACCGCTCTGCTGTCACCTCATGAAGTATTTTTAATTTGGTCACGTGTAAGGGAAACATGAAGAGGTGAACAGCAAGACATTGCTGCCTTACGTAACAAACAGGAACAGGCTGCAGTAAGTAAAATCCAAATGAAGAGATTAAATGGAAAATTGTAATTTCCTGGGGGTGTGAAATGAAAACAAAATTTGGACTTTCCGAAATTCAATCAGGCGACGTTTCCCGGGACCTTAACGACGATGCCCGTGAGCTATGGGACCCCACCAGCCGCCCCGAAACGCCGTGGTTATGGAGTGAAGCTACTTACTAAAGCAGCAACGTACACTTTGTACACGGGGTCGGCGCAGACCATGGACAGGACGCTGCAGCAGGCCCCCACCACGTCCGCCGGGGCGCCGGGCGCGGCTGGTCCTGGGGCGGCCCCTGCGCCCGGGCCGCCGCCGCCGGAGTGGCCGGTGCTCTCCCCGTGGGCCAGCAGCAGCGCCCCGCTGACGTCGTGGGAGAGGCGCCGGAGCGCCATCTCCCTGATGCTCCAGTTCCTGGAGAAGAGGCAGCCGACCAGCTCCGTCCCGAACACCTGCAGCCAAACACACACAGTGAGCTCAGCGCGGGGATGCGTGGGGATGCGCGGGGTCGCGCGGATGGACGGACCCGGCGCCTTCTGGCCTGAGATCAGATTTCTGTTACTGAAGGGACACCGGGCATTGCTTAAACCTTCACTGTGCAGTTTCAGATGTGCCAGCCGCTTCAACGTCATTAAGAAGGAACTTACACTCTAAGTTTAGCTGGTAACTCTCAAAAGCCCTTACTGTGTATTCAGGCAAAATCAAGAAAGAACACAGGGATTAGGTGGATACCCGTCCAGAGATGTATTTCTATGCGCGGATGTTCACCACAGAACAAAGCAGGTCCCCAGAGAGCCCCGACTTTGTGTTCGAAGCCAGTCAGCCCGCGCGGACGCCAGGCCCAGAGGGGCGCGATCGAGAAGGGCCCGGACGCGGCGCGGCTCTCCCAGCGAGCAGCCGTCAGCGGGGACTTCGACTCGGGTTTTGTCTTGTATGAAAAGGGCAAAAAACTGGACAGAACAGGTAGGGCTGCAGCTAACAGAGTGGAACAATCAAGACGGGAGAAAAAATGCTTGTGCTCCCATCAGCTAAGGCGGCGCACGTCCCCACGGCCGCCACGCCCAGGGCCGCAGACCACGGGCCCGACAGGACGGGCGGCACTCAGGCGGGACCCCAGGGCTGAAAGGAAGGAGCGCACCTAACGTAACGTACACGGAGCGTCTCTGAGTGTTAGAGCAGAGGAAACAACTTGGGGAAAACCAGCCGTGACACTCGTAGGTGCGTTTGCCACAGGAAGTGACAGTGAAGGAGGATGAACCCGCCCGACCCCCACGAACTCAGGCGGCGCCCGGGCTCGGAGCCTCGACCCTGTCTGACCGCGTGGTCCTCACGAAGCGCCAGCCCAGCCCGGCCTGGAGCTCCGGCAGGACCCAGAGGCCGCAGCCCCGCAGGGCTGGCGTCCGATGCCTCGGGGAGGCCCTGGGAGCAGCGGGGGGCCCATCGGGGGGGGGGGGCCTGTGCTAAACGCCACTGATGAGCTGATAAAAAAGGGCAAACTCGTTAAGTTTGCAAATGGCATTCGATTCGTAACAGATTGTGAACACGGTGAGAAACGAGAACCCAAAGCCGAAGGACACGAAGTGGAAAAGGGGACCCAGCCCCGGGAGGCAAAGCTCAGCGATGAGCCGCGGGCCGTGCGTGGCTGAGGGTGTGAGGAGCACGAGGCCCCCGGCGCGGCTGGGGCACTGCGTGGCTCAGCTCCGCTCACAACGCCAGGCGCTGAAAGGCCGGCGCCGGGCGCTCCGGTTCGCCGGGGACAGGGCGCGGTAGGAGAGGTCGTCAAGGAAGGGAAACCACCCGACAACGGCGAGTGCCCACGACCAGGTGCCCCAGGCCAACACGTCCGCGTTGGCTCCGGACCCGCACTCAGCATGGCAGCCTCGGGGCCAGGGGACGCGGGAGGGAGAGGCCGCGTTCACACGGCCCCAAGCGAGGGAAACGGCACGGTCTGCGCGGGACGGGCACGAAGCCTGCGAGCTGTGCCAGCCCCCACGTTGCTGTGGTGTCTGCGTCTGGGCACCGTCCGCCCGTCCGTCGGCCAGAGAGTCACTTGGGGCTGTGGGAGGTCCAGGCTCCGCGATGGGCAGCCTGTGCACCGTGCGGGAACTTCCCTGGCGCAAGTGTCAGGCGCGGGCGGGGCTGGAGCGCCTCCCCACACGCACGCAGCGGGGAGGCACCTGCCTCCTCAGACGTGGGGCGTGGGCCGCTTACCTGGATCCACGGCTCTGCCGTGTCCCTGTGCGCGGGCGGGACCTGCTGAGCCCCGTGGTGTGTCAGGCTGAAGCTGCTTTCCTGCGTCCTGCGTTGCAGGCCCGCCGAGGGCTGCGGCACGGCAGCCCGCAGGGGCGACGGGGCGTCCGCAGGGCTCGACAGCTCGTGGCTGAACAAAAAACCAGCAAGGCCTGCTATGAGCACCCCAGGGACCCGAGCAACACGGCAAGGACGCTTCCACGCTGCACCCAACGTCTGCGCGTCACTCATGCAAGACCGTTACCTGTAGAAGTCATGGGATCTCCACTTAGACCGACAGAGCGGGCATATCAACGGCTCTCTGTTCCTTCTACACTCTTCGGCCCCTGGGGAGAGAAGACGGCCGCGTCACACGCAGTGACTGTCCACCCCAGCAAGGGCGGGGCTCGCGTGCGGACGGGGGCTCGGGGCTCCTGGGCAGGCGGGCAGCAGCCAGTCCTCCAGGTCCCGCGCACGACCCGCCGCGTCCCCCCAGGGAGGGAGCTGCTGCGGGCACAGGGGACACCCAGGCGCACACCCCCACCCACAGCCCCGGGCGAGGGGCCGGCACCTACAGATGGACATGCAGTGGTGGTGCAGCTTGTTCCGGCAGCCGTCCTCACACACGGTCAGGCTCTCCTCGTCCAGCATGCCCAGCAGGCAGATGGGACACAGCTGCTCCTCCTCGTCCTTCATGCTGCACGTGACGCACAGGACAACGGTTGGCACCAGGCGGGCGGGCAACGGGCCCACCTACACCGCACGCGCCATGGCTTCCAAGGACGGGAGCGCGAGACGCTCTTGTTGGGAGCATCTGACACGCGACGCCTGTGTCTCCCGTCATTCCACCGCGGCCCTGCCTCAGGGCCACGTCCCAAGGCTCTGCACATCCTGGGGACACATTGGCCTTCCCTGCCGTGACCACAAGCCCACGTCTGAACTCCAGATTAGAGAGGGGGCAGCCCTGAGCCCTGCCCGCGCCCCTTCGGAAGGAACAGGCTGCTGCAGGACGCAACTCGGCAGCAGCACAAGGCGCCACCCGCCGCAGGGCCGAGGCTGGCAGGGACCCCCAAGCTCCCGAGCCCATGTGGGACGCCTCAGGCACTCGACGTTCTTCTGAGCGCAGCTTGCGGCTGCGCGAGCTCATCAGAAGGCGAGCGCGCTCTGCCCGCGTGCCCGCTCGCTGGGCGTCTCAGTTGTCCCTGCCGCTCTGTGAGCCTGAGCGCTTCTCAGGGTACGACTTTCTCTTAAGAAAGTACATTGACTGGATCAACGCATACAAACATCTTAAAAAGCCACTTTACATATAGTGAAACATGCGTAGCCTCCCAAGAACGGAACTCGTTACAAAAGCCCCCGCTACTTCTGTAAATAAATGTGGCACCTTTTTAAAAATGCCAGTTTCCCTAGCTGTTAGGCTGACCAAACACCGTTCACATGTGTTAGCCCTGAAATTCCGCCATTAATATTCTTCCTATGCTCTTTACCAGGTAGGTACTGGCACCCCAGGTCCCTGTTTGCAGGGTTTATTTTTTTGGTCATCATTTTTTGTATGTAATTTGTCCCAATTCGGTTTTTCGTTGTTTCTTAAAACAAAAATACATCAAAACTAACACAATGCAATCGGATACCCAGATGCATGTCTTTTTCTAAAAATCGAGACGTAACACAAGGCACCGACACCCTCAGTTGCCCTCAGCACGTGGAGGTGATGACCATGGCATGGTTCCCCCGATATACGAACCCAGCGAACCAGCGATGCCCCCAGACCGCGACCCGCCCATGCGTGGGAGGTGCTGCCTTTCACCTCGGGTGGGAGGAGGGAAGCGGGCCCCACCCCCCAGGGGCAGCCACGCCGAGGCCGCAGGGCTCCGAGGACAGGCCAGGGCCCCGGGGCCGAAGCCGACCCCCTGCACGTCGTGCACGGTGGGCCATCCGTCGGCAGCTTGGGGACGGAGGTTGGGGACGCGCCCCCGATGGCACGCGCCCGCAGCGTCCCTCGGACCGTGACTGCCTGTCTGTGCAGAGGAGCAGGCCTGTGTCCTCTCGGGGAAGCGGGCCCTGCTGAGGGCCCGAGAGTCACCTATGAAGCAGCGGTGGCGTCACCCCTTCTCTGCACGGCCTCTGCTCCTCACCTGCAGAGCAGTGACGCCGCCTCCCCAAGAGGCCACTGTCGGGGCGGCTGTGCCCCACGCTGGGTGCCCGACATGCAGGAGTGACTGGTGCACCGCGGCCACTGGCTATTTGCCACCTGCACCACTTTTCCTATGACACAGACTTTGGCTCTCACCTGCCATTTAAGGTGCCACTTTCAACACTGTAGTTTTCAGGGCAAAATGTCCCTACCCATGTGTGTGTCTGCGTGTACATCCACACACACACATCCACATCCACACACATGCACCCATCTGACCTTTAGTAACTTTTACCCTTGCGTTTAACTCGAAAGCCAAGAGGCAAGACTTTTTAGAGCAACTTAACAAGTAAGTACAAAAAATGACACCTGAAATTAAAAAGCGCCCCTGGGTTCATGCCTTTAATTCCCAAAAAAACGCCCACCTGTTTTCCGAGCTGGAGGTGGACGTGCTGGGCGACGAGGACGCGTGTGAGTTCGACATGCGGGACACGAACTTCTGGATGGTGCTGCGGGACGGGGCTTTGATCCGGGAGCTGCGCCGGCTGTGGTACCTCTGGAACAGGCTCTCCACCTGGCGCCGGAAGAGACAGGGGCGTGGCACGCGCGCAGAGGTCACATCGTGTGCCTCTGCTTTCAGGAGTTTTTCACGAAGCGGACGTTAGCGCTTCAAAGCTAAAAACGCGCACAGCTCCCTGGGGACCGGCGTGCACAGCCAGCCGGGGCCTCCTGTCCTCCGTCTAGAAGAAGCACGCCCCGGCGGGCTCCCGACCGCCCCCCGCCTTCGAAAGGACCGCTGTGCGTATTTAAGTTGAGCGCTCATAGAAAAGTTTTAGAAATACGCCAAAAAAAAGGCGTTGACAATTTTACTCTAAAGGATTTACTTAAAATTACCTCAAAATTCTTTAAAGTCTTTCTCCACAGCATCGGGTCCGAAGGCTCCAGCTGAAACACGCGCAGCATCACGAACAGCAGGTGGATGCAGAAGGCCCCGCGGCCGCAGCTGCAGTTCTGAGGCGCGAACGACACAAGCACGGTGGGCGACGGCCCCGGCGCCCCATCGACCGCTCTTTAAAGACGTTTCCAAGTTCGTTCGGCTACCGTGCCCAGTGATCAATATGCAAGAAAGCCTACAGGTATCTCCACAAATTAACCCCTTAGTTTGGTGAATTTATTAAAAGGGTCAAATTCGTACTCTAAAGTACATTAGATCTCAGTAAAAACTTTTATAAATACATTAAACATAGCTCCAAAATATGCTTTGAAGTCACTTTACTGACTCTCGCGTGCCACGTGGGGGACTCTGGGCTCGCACCGCCCGCAGCCGCCGCGCGCCCCTACCTGCGGCCCGATGAACACCCGGTACTTGTTGTCGGGGCTGTCGCCGCCCACGAGGAAGGAGTTGGGGCCGATCTGCTGCAGCAGGTAGAGCCGCGCGCGCATCACCTTGTTGACCCGGCGGCCCGTCTCCTCGGGGCTGTACGGGGAGAAGCCGTCGGGAGAGGGCGCTCTCCGCGGGGGCGTGGTCCTCCCGCCCTGAAACTGCACAACAGCGGGGTCGGAGCGCGCTCGTGGCTCGAGCAGAGGCCGCCGCCCGGGGAGGCCGCGGCAGAGCGCGCGCGGCGCCTCGGCGTCTGCAAAAAATGCCCCCCACGGGACGGGACGGGACGCGGCGTGTTCTGCGGATGCCTCCGTGTCTCGTGCTCATCGCGCGTGAACTTCCAAAACCGCAGTTGCCCACAGCCAGTGACAACTCTTTGGCCGGGGGAGGCAACCACGTGCTAACGTTATACGTTATAAATAGTTGAGTTCTTTGAAAAATACTATGTAAACCAAAAGAAAAAGCACAAGACGGTCACCTCGCACACCGGCAAAATCACTTGTTTCTACCAAACCGAAACGCCAGTGCCCGCTCGCGCGTGAGGCGTGGGCTTCCGGGGCCAGTGCCTCACCAGCGGCCCCTGGCGGGCGGCGCTTCCCGCCCGAGCCCCGCCCCCGCCCCCAGGGATGACGGGCACTCTCGGGGCTGGGTGGCCGCGCCGCTCCACGGCTCCCCGGGACTCGGCCGTTCTATCGGGGCCACAGGGAAATTCCCGGCCGTTCCCTCTGGGGCCTCCCGGCCAGTCAGAGGCGAGAAGTGCTGGTGGGAACGGAGACGTGCGGAGGCTCTTGGAGGCCTCGCGACTCGGAAGCCCAGCTCCTCCGTTCGGCCCCGAGAGAAACGGAGGGACACGTCTGCACAAGGGTCCACGGCGGCGCTGGGCGCCTTTGCCGGAGGGGCAACAGCCGCACGTCCGGCCGCCGACGGGCAAACACGCCGGGAACACCCGCAGGCCAGGCCGGTTCTGCGACTACGGGAGGCCGGGGCAGGCGGGCGGCGCCAGGGGCTGCGAAGAGACGGCGGCTGGCGGGAGGCGCTGTCCTGGGGTAACGAAAGCGGCCAACGCTTGCTGGGGTGACGGGGACAACTCTGTGAAACACCCCAGCCCAAGGACAGTGCGACTTACGCAGGCCAGTCGTGTGGCGTGCAAACTACATTTCCATAGAGCCGTTCGTTTTTAACAGGCAGTTACTTCAAAGTAACAAAACACCCCAAAACAAATATACATACACTTGTCCTTTCATCTGCTAAGCATTCAGACTATGGATATGCTCGTAGACGTGCAAAATAACGTGTACGTATTTTTGCACCTTGTTTTGGTAATGAAAAGTCTATATGGAGTGTAACTGTCCGCTGGTGTGTAGTTCACGAAATAAACCATGATATTCCCAGATAATAAAATGCTATGCAGCTGCTGCGAAGAGTGAGGGGTGTCCGCCCCGGAGGGGGTGGGGCGGGGGCGGGGGCGGGCGCCTCCGTGCGCGCCTGCGCAGATCTGACGGCGGCGCCCGAGCGCTGCACGGCCCGCAGCTCTGGGCGTGTTGGGGCTTTGGGCGCCGACGCGCAGGATGGGCGCGCCGGCCTGGTTAGAGCCTCTGTGCGGGGACCCGGCCTTTTTACTGTTGTTTGTTTTTTTTGGCTTAACAGACATTTTTTGTCTCACAGTTTCCGAGACGACCAGTCCACGGTCGAGGGGCCGGCAGGGCCAGTTCCCGCGAGGCCTGGGAGGGAGCCCCGCCCTCGCCTGCTCCACTGCCTCCGGCGCAGACCTGTCCCCACTTGCTTTGAGGGGCAGGTGCCCGGAGTCGCACGGCGGCGGCTGCAGGGGGCGCTACGGGAGCGGGCGTAGCCACCGAGCCCGCCTGGCATGTGAACTCCAGAGCTCACACATGATGGACCTTATTTGAGTTAAAAAGTAGCTACCTCCCAGGTGTGCCAACGTACAGCTAATAAGCACCGTGGCTGCCTTTGGCTTTGCTGGAAAGGCTCTCCCTTACAGCTCGCTTTCGGGAGGGTTCACATGCTTTGACAGCCTCCCATCCGAGCAGGGCCCGTCGCCGCTGGGTCTCTGTCCCCTTTGCGCTTCCAGCTCGGACAGACGGGGCAACTTCTCTCACATAAGCGGCCCGGTCTTTCCGCAAACCTCGGAGGCATTTGGCTCCACGCAGAACGCAGCAGGGCTCTCATGGCCGCGTCTGCACACGGCCAGCGGGGTACGAGGCTCCGGCTACGCTGTGTGAATGCTCTTTTCTGACGTCACACCAAAGAGGCGGTTCCTGAGGCGGGGGGGCGGGGCTGTAATGGAACCCGCGGCCCCATCGGCAGCCCCCGCGGCCCGGGCAGGCCCCAGCAGGGCTCACTCGCCCGGCCGGACCTCTGCCCCAGGGCGCCGCGCCGCCGCCCTGTCCGGGCCGCGGGGGATCCTGGCTCCCGGCGCGAGGCGGCTCTTCCAAGGGCCGGCGCTCACTGTGCAGCGGGCGAGGACGGAGGCTAGTTCAGTGACATCTGCGATCTCATGTTAAAAATCTAGGTTTCGGGACGCTGACAAGCTCACAGTGGTGGAAGGAGTTTCCCAAAATTCTAGTTTTTGCTTAAAATCTCAAATTTTAACCTGGGTGACAAAGCACTTCCACTGGTTTCCTTGGCGAGACTTCACCTTAAGGACACTGCCTGCTGGGCGTCCCGGCAGCTTTAACCCCGGCACGGGCACCAGCAGCGGCGCTCCCAGCCCCGCCTCCCCGGCAACACCGACAGGCGCGGAGCACAGGGCGCCTTGGCTTCATCTCAAAAGGAGCTCTGACCTGAGGGGCCCAGCAGAGGGTCCTGGGACCGCCCTGCTGCCGCCCTCGCGGGGTGCGGGCTGCGCAGCAAGAACAGCCGCTGACAGGCGCCCAGCCGACCGTCTACAGGACGGAGAAGCGTAACTCACGTGTTGGCACGTTAACTTACCGGCACCGGGGAGACCCTTTTCCTCCTCACTCCGGGGGACTCCGACTTCGCCGTGCGCCCCGACGGCGAGCCACTGGGGGACGGGCTGCGGCGGCCTTTGGGGGCCGGGGCCGCGGGGCTCGTCTGGCCTTCTCCTTGCGACTCGGCCGCGAGGCTGTTCATCTCAGATCCGTCTCCTTTAACAGGGATCGGTTTTACCACCTGAATTCAACACCAACACATGGATTACTTAAAAACATACAAAAGAACCGCATTGGAACTCGGGGAGCTGTTATATGACATCAAACAAACTTGACAGACAACACACCAACTTGTATTTAGCATCTTTTAAGCCATAAATGCCACTGTTTTGCCCGCACAGATTTCACTCCCGAAGCTGCCTCCACTGGTTCGAATGCTGCCACACGCGCTGTGGGAACTTGGCGTTACCTCCAATTCCGCATCGCGAGTTACTCAGCGTTCAAAATCAGCAAAGCTTAGTACACGAACGCGAAAGATAAGCACTTACAAGGTCCACAGCTGATTTACTCAACCAGACTGAGGGCGTGTTTTCTTTTTCATTCGCATTAACCAACACAGGCCGTGTAAGCACTGCTGGGCCCAGGGGGATCGAACCGTCTGACTGCGCGATGGGAACCGCGTGTGCTTCTTTTGGGGCCACGTTACAGTGCAATAGGCCGTTTGGACACGTACGTCAGAAGCATCAAAGACACGAGAAGCTGAGAGACCCGCCTCTGAGGCGCAGACGCAGCTGGCAAACCTGCTGCTCGTAACGCCGGGGCTTTCAGGCCCAGTCCAGCTGCGAGCAGAGGGCTGAGCATGCTGTGGCCTCCGCATGCTCCAACCCCGCGGTTCTGCCAGCCTGGCCGGCGCCCACCACACACCTCCCCGTCCCCCAGATGGGCTCTGACCACGTGGCTGCCCAGCCCGCGGCCCCCAAGAGCCTGCCGCCACCCAGCGAAAACACGCTGCCCCCTAAGGTTCGGTCCAGCGCCGGCCTGCCACGGGGCAGCCCCAACTCCTGCAGCCCCAACTCCTGCAGCCCCACACGCCTGGCACCTGCCGGGGGAGCCACGCCTCGCTTCATGTCTGTCTGTCAGGCACAAGTCGTCTCTCCGCAGATGGAGCTGCTGACACCCCCTCGTGTGACAGACCCCAGGGCAGATGGACATCCCCAGGCAAGAAGGGCAAGAGTCTGCAGCTGAGGAGGTAGAGGCAGGAGAGGGACCTCGCCCCTCCTCACCGGACAAGGGACCGCAAGGAAGAACAGAGTCTGGTCCGTACGTAATAAAGGGTACGTGGTTGGCTTCTCTTTAAAAAGCTGTGATTTCTGCTCTGGGACGCTCTGGAAAGAACTGGGCTCCCCACTGGCTCCCGGGGCGCCATAAGCAGCTCCCACACATCAGGACGGCTCTACCTGCTCCAAACCCTTCTCGTGTTAAGTGGGTAGGAAGCTGCCACCTTCTGTGAAATGTTTTGGCAGAACTTTCTTGTTTTTAATAGGAGTTCTCTCTCTTTAAAAATATTTTATTTATTTATTGTTAGAGAGAGGGAAAGGGAGGGGGAGAAACATCCCTGTGGGGCTGCCTCTCCCGCGCCCCCTGCTGGGCCCTGGCCCGCACCCCAGGCCTGCGCCCGACGGGATCGTTGAGTGGGCGGCCCCTTTGGCTCGCAGGCCGGTGCTCAGTCCACTGAGCCGCACCAGCCGGGGCGGGACTTGCTCTTTCCTAAACCACCCTGGATGTGTCCTCTCCACCCTCTGACAGGGCAGCTGGACTGGGGAGGACTAACCGGGGCGGGGGGGGGGGGCAGGAGCTGGAGACTTTGCTGGAAAGGGAAGGGCCGTGGGCGAGGGGCGGCGCCGAAGGGCCGGATAGAAAGGACGAGCAGTTGCAGCCCCGATGGGCCGCACGGGTCACAGCCGGGGCGGGGCGGGCGGCCCAGGGCGAGGGCCGCCTGGGCCTGCGGGGGTCAGCGCGTGACGTCTCGTGGGGCTTCCTGAGACGGCAGGAGCACCGACTGCCCCACTATGGGGCCACCTGTCACGCGGGGTCCTGAGCATTGGGAATGCACGGGTGTGACTGAGGATCGCAATTTTTACTTTTATTCATCTTGACACTGATGCCGGCGTGTGGGATGAAGGGTGCTGGGCAGCGGTTTGGCCAGGGTGCCATTCGGGGGCTCGCTGGCTTCTGCGGTTGTGTGCACGTCCCCTTGCCCCCCACACGTGCACACACACACCGATGCACCCGCAACGGTTGCCTCCGTGTAGAGGGACCAAGCACACATGCGTGGCGCCCGCCGGCCGGGGTCCCTGCGCCCCAGCCCCGCCCCTCCCTCTGCGAGCGGGAGGAGGCCCCTTTCGCGGCCTGACAGGCAGGCCCGCTGCGCTCGCTGTGCTGCGCGGCACAGATGCTGCGTTTTCCACAGACCGAGGGCCAGGCCCGCCACCAGCACGAGACCCTGGCTGGTTGGCCGCGGGGGCGCACAGCCGACCCGCACGTCTCCGGGGGCCGCGGGTGGAGCGAGCCGCTTCTCCTCCCCTGGGGTCAGGCTGCCGTCCTCAGGCCCGGCACCTGCTCAGTCCGCCTCAAACCCCTGTGCCTACTGGATTATTTCTGACTTCCTGAGGGACTCCTGGAAGTAAGGTCCTTGGAGCCGACCTTCGCGATAAAACATCAAGGTAAGACTTGGAAACCGGCCTTTGCGTCTAAAGCCTTCAGCCCCGCGCGGCCCTCCGGGGAGAGGCCGAGAGCAGAGGCAGCGTGGCCCTGCGCCCCTGGCCCCCGCCCCCGGCCCGTGTGGCGCGCCCACCCCGTGAGGTCGGCGGGGCCCCCGCCCCCCGGCCCGCACTCACCACAGGGCCCCGGCGGCTCCTCCGCTCCAGCCACTCGTGCCGCCAGGCCGGCATGCAGGTGGCCTTGAGCTTCTCGCGGATCGTCCGCTCCTCGGGGCGGTCGTCCATCTTGTGCAGCCCCCGCAGCGTCTCTTTATTCTCCATCTCGCGGCTGGGGGGGCAGGGACAGGGGCGTTAGCGGGGGGACAGTTTGCGAGGACAAAGCAAACGACGTGCTCCTATCTCCTACTTTCAACGGACAGGTAACTGGGAAGGAAGCCACCATCCGCCCGGAGACGGACCCTGGGGCCACGTGCCCCTCCCCCGGCGCGGGCCGTGCCGGCTGCGCCCTGGGAATGCAGGTTTTACACCTTTGAAAAGCCAGGCTCCCCAGGTGGGCGGAGGGTAGGCTACCAGGAATGCAGACGCAGACCCGCTGGCAGGTCGTCGACGGCACGCATGTTGTTTCTGAGGGCAGCACTCGGCCACGCTCGAGTGCGTGACAGGCACACGCTTACCCCAGGACTCAGGGCGACACGGACAGAATCGCGCGCGTGTGCTCGTTTTCAGAACTTGGAGAGCCAGGTGAAACCTAAGTACGTCTTCCACGAGCCCACAATAGTTTTTCAAGCCCCGGATGATTGAACTGCGTCCTCAGAGCTGACAGAGCGTTTGGGGGCCCACGCACGGCGCTCAGGAGGCACCCACGGCTTCGAGCCTGGACCTGGGAGGCAGGTAGGACGGCGGCGCCTCGGGAGAAGTTGCTGTCTTAGAGAGCGCAGCGAGCGTCAGTGACTCCCCTGGAAGTCCTGTAACGCCACAGGACAGCGGCCGCCCCACGGAGCCACACGCACGCTCCTCCAGGGATGTCCCCGCCAGTCACAGGGACAGGGCAACGGAACCTTCAGGGAACCAGCGAAGCTCGACGTCACTCAGCCCCGGCCCCAAGAGCAGGACGGCTGCGAGGGGCCTGGGACCCAGGCCAGCAGCTCTGCCGGGGGCCACCCCCCACCCACCAGCGTCCCCGGGGAGCGTGGAGCACAGGGCGCGGGAAGTCTGCCCGTGGTGGGGGCGGGGGGTGCGGACCATGTGCCCTATTTCCGCCACATGGGCACAAAATCTGCCACAAAGAGCGAGGCCACATGAGCAGGAAAAAGGTGAATAAGGGGAAGAAAGAGGGAGGGAGGGAAGAAAAAAGACTGATTCTTATTTACTTCAGAGTGTTTGGCTGCTTCTCCTGCTCCGATTTTATCATAAATACAATGTTGGGGGGGAGGGCGGGGAGGGGGAGGGAGGGCCGTCCGCCCAGCGTGGTCCGGCTCCGGCAGCACTCGCCCTAGGAAACCCACAGTCCCCGGCAGCCCCGCACACGGGCTGACGGCGCCCGGCACGCCACCGCGCCTCTGCTGGACAGCCGTCACTTTCCCTACAGAGCAACCGTCGGTGGCGGGGGCGGGGGGGCGGGGAGTCCAGTGGGGCCGGCGCTGGACTAGTTCTCAAAGGTCGGTCTCACCGCGGGCCAGCAGCCCCGCCCCCGGCAGAGGGGCAGGGCGCCTCTCCCAGGAGCCCCCCGCCCTCGGCCCGTCCTGCCCTTCCCGGTCTCTCCTCCCGGCACCCAGGCCAACGCGAGCTCCTGGTCCGCGCAAACCTCCCGCGGCCCGGCGGACTCTTCCCCGCCGCTTGTGAGAGCGAGACCGTCCGCTGGCCACCGTCTTACTGTAAATAGCAGGGGATATGCCCGCACACGAGCAGCTCCACTTTTGCGCACATCTAAGGTTATTTCTTTAGAATAAACACCCTGAAGTGGAATTGCTGGGTCAAAATGTATACTTTCTGCTACATTAACTAAGACTTTTCATACTAATGGCAACTTACCTTCAGGAAAACGTATATTCATTCACAACCCCCAAGACAAGTGGCCAACTTGGCTGGGCGGAACCAGCGGACCCCCAAGGGATCTGCTGCCCGGGCCTCACTCCCTTTGCTTCCCCGCCCGCGGCCTCAGGGCGAGCAGGCTCCCCCGCACCGACACCCTTGGTGGCTTCCCCGGGACTGAGACTCAAATCCGACACGTGGAACAGAGCCCGTGACGCCAGCCGCGCCTGGTCGTGGCTCCCTACCTGACGCCCTCCTGCGCGGGCCCCTCGTGGAGGCCGCTTGTCCCCTGCCTGCCGCCTGCCTCCCCGATGTCCAAGGCTCTAGCTCTCCTTCAACTCCGCGAGGCCAAGCTTGATCAGGAACCCCTCGTTCCGTCTTGTACTGAACCTCAAAGCAGCGGCCCCCAGCCTCTTTGGCACCAAGGACCGGTTTCGTGGAAAGAATTATTCACGGACCAGGGTCAGGGGATGGTTTCGGGATGGTTTCAGCGAGTTCCATTCATGCCCCCCTCCTGCTGTGTGGCCCGGTTCCCAACAGGCCAGGGCGGCCCGGGCAGGCGGCTGGGGGCTGTGGCCCCCGCCGTGAAGCGCTCCCTGCCACCTTCAAGCCCTCCCCCACCGTCCGCCCTGGGCGGGGGTCCCAGTGACCCATCGGGACAGACCCGCCATCCAACACGTCTGCCTTGTGATAGGCATCACAATGCGGAGTAAACAGACGATGATTTATTAACATGTTTGGCAGCCCTGAGGACCTTCCTAGTTTTAAAATTTAATGTCTACTTATATTACTTAATCTTGTCATAGTCCCGTTTTTAATTAAGACTAAAGGTGCAATTTAGACGTTATTCAGTAAAACAATGTTCATTGTTCCTTAATTCATATGAAAATATAAACCAAAGTGTCCTGATGTCTTCATAAGCAATAATGAGATATAATTAATCCAAAAATGTGTATTTTTTCACATTTGTACCTCTGAAATCAAAATGCCTCTTACAACCAATGTTGTTTAACAGGCAGCGTTCCTTTCCTTTCTTCATCGTGTATAGAATAAATAGTAGTATCATTCACAACCAGTGGGACCTCAGAGTCAATAAAATACACAGTAAATCCTCTTCCACATGCCAGGGAAAAATCATAACTACTCAGTTTCCTTTGTCTCTGAAATAGAAACTAAACTAGGAGTAAACCCTTTTTCTGACATACTTTTCTTGTTTTATAATAACCCTGACACTCACAGCTCAGACACGTAAAGGGCTTTTATTTTTACCAGATGTGCGCGCGCCTGTCTACAGCAGTGACCTGTCATCTCATCCGATTCGCATAACACCTATAGCAGAAAACATCTTTCAGGAAAAAAAAGAAAAGGAAAAAAAAGAACACAAACTAACCTAAACTGAGAGTCGTAAAATCCTCGGGCTGTCTGAGGGCCTCAAACTATTACCCAGAACCATTCCTGTTATTTTAACTAAAATAATAGCTCATGTATTTGACCTTTTGGCAAAATAAACATACATATTTTGGGAATACTTTGAAGACTTAACAAAATTTTAGCTAGATAAATATGAGAAATTTAACCATTGTTACAGATTAAGCTTCATCTTCCTTCCCTGTGTATTGAGAAAACATGGTGTTTCTTGCTGGCTTTGTTCCTACACGTTCCTCAGAATGAATCTGTGACTGACCCAGAGTTTCAAAGGACCTTCCTCTCTCCCAAGGTCAGGTTTCCAGTTCTCGTCTCTTCCCAGAGGACGGAATCCACCTGCTACCACGGGACGTCCCCAGGCCTCGCCAGGGCAGCCGCGTGGCCACCCCTCCCTGCCCCTCCGAGGCGGTCACTGCGGGCGGTCATCCCAGAGGCCTCCCCTCTGGGGACAGCGAGATGCCTTCTCCCCCTTCGGCCTCTGCTGGGCCCCCGCGTCCCACGGGGGCCGCCGCCAGCACACCGGGGTGTCCGACCGGCCCCGCGGGCCGTTTTCCTGCTGGCGTCTCACATCCTGTGTGGTGACAGCAACTCTCACACAGCGGACGACGCGGGTTTTCTCAGTGCAGTCTCCTCTCCCCACGGGGGCTGTGCCCGTCAGCGGCGCAACTTGCCCGGACGGGCCAGAAAGGCGCCAACACGGAGCCAGCGGCCCGGGTGCCCCCTCCCGCCACGGGGCAGCAGGCTGGACCGCGGAGCCACCGCGCAGGCTGCCTGGCCACACCGTGCCCCAACCACAGACGCTCTGTCCCGGGGGGTCCCAGGCCGCCCAGGCGTCTTGTTTGCCGGAGCCTGAGCGAGGTGCACGGGGCTGTCCCTTCGGGAGCAGGGGCACCCAGGGGAGAGGGAGCTGAGCGGAAAGCAGGAGCGAGGAGGCAGAACTGAGGGAGGGCGGGGGCCCGAGGCTGGGCCCCCGAGGGTGGAAGGGCCAGCCCCCTCCTGCGCCCCGTCCAGCTCCCTGCCCCGCTGGAGACGGAGCTGACCCAGCTCCCCATCACTTCTGAAGTGTGTTTTGAGGAAATGGGGGGCGGCGCTCCGGGCATGGCAGCAGTCTGTGACCCCAAGAGCAGCTGGCTGAGGACGCGAGGGCGGAGCCCCCTTCCCAGGCCGCCAGCACCCCGTCTTCAGCGCGGCCCAGGGTCTTCGCAGCACGGCGCCGGATGTCAGAAGCCTCTGTGTCGCGCACGGCGTGTGACCCCCGACGCGGCCCCCGAGGGGAACGGGCACGGACTCCAGCCCCAGGAAAGGCGCGGGCCCTGGTCAGCTGCTCACAGGAAGTCAAACAGACGGAGGCCCAGAGGACGGCGGCAGTGCGACGTCTAACCGACAGCGATCGAGGCCGTTCCCCACCGCCTTGGTGGTTCTGACTGATTCATTTACAGATTGCTCTCAATTGTCACGTACAGGCTGAAAACCAATTTATCTGACGCCGTGGATTAGTTTCTATTAAAATATCGTCCCACTTGACTTGGAAGAATAAAATTATTCTCCAGCAAAAATTACAGGATTTGGAAATGCAGACAATGGCACAGAAACATGAAGAGTCTACACACGGCATTAACCAGGAGAAGCCCAGGGACTGTGTGCAGGGGCGCCCCCTCCGCGACTCTGAGTCGGGGTGGCTGGCCGTCACTTCCACTCAACGGGGCTGGTGCTCCACGCGGCGCACGTGACAGACACGACAGCCCGCTTAACCTAAAGCTTACAGGTCCCTTTGGGACATACAAAGAATTTCAAAGAAAACAGGAAGAATATTCAAAAGGTTTTCCTACTTCTAAATAAGTAGTTGGTAAAAGACTGGCTTCACAATCATTG